AACAGCTAAAGTGTTTATTGTAAGAGTTAAAGAAAGTTTCTGTTAAAAGGTATTAAATGCTTCATCCAGAGTAAATGAGAGGCTACACAGTTTGTAACTAAGTTTCAGTGATTCTGTTGTTTCAGTTTAAAAGCTGAAAATTATCATGTAGACTTTTAAGTATTTAAAACATCTTTGTTGTCTAAGAAACTGATTTAATCAAGCTTAATGTATAAGCACAACTAACAATGGCAACGTATACCTCCTGTCCAACAACTTTATCTAATGGGAAGCAAAGAGTTTTGGTCCAAGCACTGCACCCTGTGGAACTCTGTGACTAACTCTACTATATGAGGAGTCAATAATAACAAACAAACTCCAATTTATTAGGCAGATAGGATTTAAACCAGCTCAGTTTTGCTCCATTTATCCTAATGGGATGTTCGAACTTATATTGTGATCTTTTGTATCAAATGCAGCACTGACATCTAACAGGACAAGTACAGACACGAGTCTATTGCCTAAGGCAAGAAGAATATTATTGGTAACATTCACAAGTGGAGCACATGTGATATGATGAACCCCAAACCCTGACTGAAACTCCTCAAGTCAATTTTTGGCTAAAGTCCCAAGGTTTCTTGCAGAAAAGTTTAACTACAACAAGCCTAAATGCAGCAATATAAGCACTCACTCACTACAGACAGATTGATCAGATCTAACATAAGGGTGCTAATTAAAGGAAAATCTTAATTGAAAAGTCTGGTTTGGATGGGTTCTAACGAACATGTTGATACATTTGGATGRAGCTGTTATTTATGTTAACTCCGAGCACTCAACAGTCCAAACACAGGTCAGTGATGCTGCCAATGACACTTCTAAARCTGTTTTGTTTCATAATGAACTAGTGGTAATAGTAGGAAGGATGGTGTGAATTTTCTCAGTTTTATTTTTAAAAACCTCCACAGTGAATTAATGTTTTGGGTAAAAATATCATTATGTCAGTTTTGGCAGGATGCAGAAAGCAGAAAAAGCAGCTGATTTCTGTTTTTTTGTCGCACTTTGAACCTCAGTAAGTTGATCCTTTAGGATTCATTACTGAAAAGCAGCTTGGCGCCATCAGAATACAAATGAAGCTGTGTTATATTGAAGATATTGTTAACATTTGCTGAAATTTAAAGTTTAACCAAGGCCTAAGAAGCTGAAAAACAAGCCCATGGGTTGTAGTCCTTTTTGGACACCGCTGACCCATATTTCTTAGCTGAACTCCAGGAGGGAGGCAGCACTTCCCATCTGGATCTCAGTGGCGTGAAGGCACAGAGCTGTGGGAGGAGGCCGGCCTGTCKGCAGCAGTGACAGTGAAGGCAAGTCTGTCCACGGAAGAGCCAGTGTCACAGTGGGAGCTGTCTGTTTCTGTTTCTGCCCCGTCTCTGTTGGGCGTTTGGGTCAACCCACCGGGCTCTGGTCCTCTCCTTGGCTGCCAATCATTTAAAGGATGTCTTTGGTGATTTGTTCTCACTGCCTTCAAGTTGTGTAGATTGCCTAAAATCAAAACTAACTTAATTACAGATATTGCCTGTTTTCGAAGTTTTAATCAATTCCTTATCAACACAATTTGCTTCACAGAAAATAGAAAATCAGATCACTAAAGCTACATTTTAGCTCTTTTATAACCTTGCTGTTTAGTAAGAAAAAAACTGTCTGGTGTTTGAGTAACCATCAGGTAAAAATCAAACTTTACCTCCTGTAATAAATAAGCAGGAGAATTAAATGATGAAATATGAGAAAATGTATTTGGAGATCCACTTGTGGGAGAGAGCCTTCCTCATGCACACRGTCATTAATTAAGCCCTCTACTTAGAAAATACTTTTTAAAATTCATCAGTGATACAGCCTTTGAGAGAACTCAAAGCACCTTTCACTCTTTATATTCTAATTTTCCATCTCAGCGCCTTCATACAGCAGAGCCACCTCCACTTCTCACACATAAGACTTCAGTCGAGCTGCAATGTTCAGATGAAGGCGTTATACAATGTCCAGATGACAGGGAGCCAGGTTTGAATAACAAWAAGCTATTTTTTTATGGAGCTAAGTGTTGAGAAAAGCAGACAAATCCTCTMAACTTTTCCAAATACCCAGTTGTTTGTCCCTGTCATCTTAAGTGTTTCTGAAATGACTTATAGGAGCACTTCCTGTTTGAAAAAGCAGAACAAAGGCCAGGGAGGGAGCTTGGTGGAATAATTTGCCCAACTTTCACACAGGAGACCCGAGTCTGACTCCTGTTTGTTTGACATTCTAATTTCTCGCCTTAGTTTGTGACTTTAGTTCTGCTTTCACTTGCAATTTTGTTAAACAGAAAAACAATTTTTACTTTTATTCTTCCGAAACATAGCCTTACYGTGCACAACAATGGCGCATACGAAAGCCAAAGCTCCTTAAAATCAATGTTGCTGTTAAATTACACCCCCCCCCCCCCCCGATAAACAAGGCAATAATATTTTTATGTGAATTAAAGGGGGCTGGGGGTTATAGTGTATTTTCCAGGCACATAGATCAATTCTGTACCACAATCAAGTAAGTATGTTACCTTCAGTTGTTATTAAATATATGTCCAAAAATATAAAAAAAGCCTTGAAATTGGGTTCTGTCTTTTAAGAACTTCCTACCATTTCGGACACTCCCACTTCATCGTGTCTTCACAACAATGTTTCAGGGGAGGGGTGCTCTGAGGGGCAGGAGCTCAGCTTCAGACTGAGCTCCAGGGAGGAGCTTTGTACAGATAGGAGGTTCTTTGTACCGGCAAACATTAAGGCAGCTCCACATGGCTACCACAAGAGATTCGAGGATTCCTTCAACATGCATGAATGAGTCACAGCAACCCTCTGGGTATGTGTTTGTTGAAGGAATGACATTATAACATGCTATAAAGCTCAAAAAAGTCGATTTTGCACACACAACCTCCTGCTTTCGCCCCCTTTAAAATGCCCGTGACATCACATACAAAMGGTAAAAAGAAAACATTTTTACATTTAAGAGACTTGGCATAAAACATATGATTTTACTCATTATGTCACATAAAAAGCCAGCATATTTATGTTTGGACTTGGCTCAGCCAAAATGAAGCAGGAAGTGACATTAAAGAAGAACTCTTTGAGAAAGAAAAGTCCACTGTCTGTCATTTTTGAAACAATATTATTTGGACTCTGACTCTTTATTTTCCTCTGATAGGAACAAAAAATCTAAAGAGACAGATTAGATTCTTCTCTACAGTCTGTTTTTGTCACCCACTGTAGCAATGCTCTGTTCATGTTCACATTCCCCTTTGACATTACTTCCTGTTGCTGCAAATGCAAATATCTCTTTGACTGTTCATCTCAGTGCTGTTATTTTTTCTTTTTTTCTTTTTTTATTAATGTTATCTTACCAAAAATGGATTAATATGTGTAATATTAATATTTAAGAATGCAGGAAAGAATGCAAGTGTCTCGTAGCTCAACAGGAAAATATGTTCTTGTTACAGTTTTAGTTTTTTTTTTTTACAAGAACACCTCTGAGTAGTCGTCTTGTTTTTGACTATTTTGGTGAGAAAGTTCTTCAGCTGTGAGTTCCGTTCCTAATTCCCAAATGCAGCCCATTGCTTCAGATGAGCTTCAGATACTATAGTTTGTACTTTCTTCTATTTTTTCTTTTCTAAAAAACATCGGAGAACTTATTTAATCCCGTCTTCTGTAGTCTTGTGCAGATGTCATCTAATCTCTCGGCTTTTCTGACTTTGTTGGCAGCAGTTTTTTATTTGTCTCAGTCTGTCGGTGCCAAGATAAAACACCCAGAACTCGTACACAGAGGAGAACGGGACAGCTTTTACATGATTATGTTTTATTTCTGTGAATGTGTGCTCGGTAAACATTTTCGTAAACCAGTTTGGGTTTCTTTAAGGCGGGAGTTCTCATGTTTGTCAGTATTCAGGTGCTCTTTAATTCATTTCTGTAAGAATGAAGCTGTGTTGATGCCCAGTAGAGTTTGATTAGCTGTAGTTGGATGTTTTTGTTTTAAAATTAACACAAATGTTTTTATTTTTCTTCAAGTGAGAAGCAGTGGTGATCCATGTTTTATTCAAATTCAGCWGTAAATGATTTAAACTGTATTAYAGTAAAATCTGTTCAGTGGTTCATGAGATACATGAAAAACAGATGCAGTTCACTGCAAAATTGGTCCAACTAAAGAGCTTGTGCAGTTTGATACTCCTCAAAATATGTGTTTGTCTCAGCAACTACCACACCAAAATTTAGGTCAATATCTGTAAAACACTTGAATTAATTTGTTACAGATGTGTATCCTTTGGTTGCTTTATGCAAGTTTCATTAAAATTTGACTAGAGGTTCATGTAATGTTTTGCTAACAGATGCACAAGTCTTTTTAAGCTGTGTAATAAAAAGATGTTACTGTTTTTGCTGTATTTTTTACCTCTTTCAAGACAAGTTTATTACACAAAAAGTAAAGATTTGATTAGCTCTGATGTTTACGTGGAAGGTTCAAAGTAACTTGAGTCAAATTTGCACAGTTGCTTTAATTTGTCCAAATCCTGCATCAGTGAAAAGGATCATGGTTGTTTACAGCATCATCCAGAGAAAAACAAAATACTAACAGCTCTGTGTAATGTGGGGTGTCTCTYAAAGCTCCAGCTCTGTTTAAAACTGATGAAAGAAGAAGTAAGTGCTGCTCTGTTTACACTAATTTTACTTTGTGCTTTAACAGATCACAGGATGACACTTTAATGGTGTTATTGTAGAAGTAAAACATGGAGCAAGTGCACATTTTTGCAGCTTCCTGTTCACTTAATGCGTCTTGAAAGCAATGTACCATTGTCCTTAAATTAATACTTGTGTACAAAATGGTTACTGTTTGCTTCAAGAGCACCATGAAAAAGTTGAATTTGTTTTTTTCATATTCCTATGCTTCTATAATTATCCAGGGTGAATAGCTCCTTTAGGACAAGAACAATAACAAATCTTTTTGTTTTTCAGATGTCAGTGGTATTTTAAGGCCAAGATGACCTCGGAGGACAAAAGACGGACAAATTATCAGAATGGACACGGTAAAACATTTCCCCTYATTTRTTATAGTGTGAATGCTGACTCAGATTGTGTTGTTAAGGAAGAAGTGGAGGGGAAACGCAGAACTGTTCACCAAGTTACTGTTAGCAGTTAGCCGCCTGCTCCTTTCTTTCTGTTCACTGTGAATGAAGGATGGGACCATTTCCCATGTGTTCCTGGTCCTTTACATATTTTGTTCTCCACCTGAATGACAGACCTCAGGACAAGCTTTCACAGGCTGCAAACTCACTTCCTGTTGTCAAATTTGTTTAAAGTAGACACAAGCTAGCATTTATTATTTCTATTTACAAGACTTGAGTTGCAGAAACATAGCAAAAAGCTCCTGATTTCATGCATTTTTGTCTACCTCATTTCTAAGTTTCAGTTTAATCACATAGGTTTTTTTGTTTGTTTTGTTTTATCATTTTAAAGAAAACATAGAAGCGTCCCTGAACTGTCTGTCTCTTAAGCTCTCCAAATGTTTCATTCCTGGCGTTAAAAAGATGTAAACTTAAATAAATTAACACTTGGACTAAAAGAAAAATGTTTAGCAAGATAAAAAAATGTGAGGTGAAAGAAACTTATAAGGGGAGGGGGGGGGCACAAAGAGAAAGAAACAAGGATGAGGCCGAGCAGGTTGAAAGTCGATAAAGGAGAGAACAAAGACAAATGTGGAATATTTTAAGAAGACAGCGTGATCTGAGGCCAGAGATCAACGAACAGATAGAAAAAAGGGGTGAAAGTAAAGTTATATGTGAAGGGTGCCACCCAGGGTTTTAGACATTTTAAATTAAAACCCACCTCTGCGAGCAAACATGTGTTCGCCGTTCTCCTCAGAACTCACCTGTGACTGCTTCAGCGCTAAGTGTGACAGAGAGCAGAAGCTTAGAGAGGAGAACCGGGTCCTCGAGGGG